TTTGATATATTAATTATCTGTTATATATACTACACTCAATCATTGCTCCGATTTTCCTTAATTTTTACTTACAGACTTTGTACAGATTAGCAGATATTAAAGGAGGAAGGCCCACTCCGAGAGATACTACTCTGTCGTTAGTTTCAGGATTGATGGCGGATTCCTTGTCGAGACGATTGCCGACTTTACCTTTGTGGACTGTTTTACAGGCTTTGGGTCGAGACGGTGTACATAATAGATTTAAAAGATGTTTCTTGGCTGTGGAAGAGTTGTATAATAAAATTAAAGGCTTCTCTTGTATTAGAATAGTGGTGAGTTTTTATAAAAGAAGAAGCGTCCCGTTGATTATCAAAAATTTATCATTTATTTTCTTTCAGAGTCAACCGCCTGGCGGCGAAACGGAGTCCTACACTTTAAGTGAATATCTAGCAAACCCCGTGAACAATTTACAATTATTTGAAGTAGTAGCCAACGCATTAGTTTTCCAATTCGTATCTTCGAATGGGAATCTTCAAGTCACGGATCGCGTGCTGCCTTATTACGATAAGTTGAATTCCTGGTTGGGACAAATTCTTCAGAGGGATATTGACAATATACAAATAGAACTTTGTGATATAGAACAGTGCGGTATCGCGATTCGCATTTGCCCATTAGAGAATCCTGATCAACCGCCCACGAGCGAAGATATAGATAATTTAGTAACATTCCTTGAGCAACAAATAGTAAGGACATTTTGAATCACATTAATCCATATTCCTATCGAGTATGAAACAATATCGTTATGATTCATTGATCTCTTCCTTTAGGAGTAATTTCATTTAGCAAATTTTCTTCTTGCATTTAAAAAAACATTGAAAGCCCGGAAGGATACGACGCATTGTCGCGTTACCTACAATGGTAATCGTAAACTTGTTAATAATACAATCATAATTTTGTTTAACAGGAAATATTGCTGGCAACAGTGGAACATAAAGACACCTTCTTACGTTTAGTCTCAGAAAATGATTATTTACATTTGGTGGAAATGCCAGGTTGGGCTGGTCTGGGAGGTGTGCGTTATGCTCCACCTACCTGGATTCAGGTTATGACTGATCAGTCAAAAGAAGAATTGAATAAATTAAATACACAATTGGTCGAAACACTGCGCAGCACGGATGCTGCATTTTCCCTCGGGGAAGGTGCGGATGGTTTAGCTTGCGTGCGATTTGGCATGGTAACACAAGATACAGGCAAGTAAATGCACTTTCAACAATATTGTCATTCCATATATGCCTCCTCTTTCATTGAATGATATTATTTCCAGACGTGGCTGAATTGTTGTCTTTGGTCTTACAAGTTGGCCAGGAAGTGGAAGCTAGTTCTAAAATGATGGATACTATCTCCGAAGTAGTTAAGAGAGGTATCGAGACGGCGCAAACAGATCTAGAGAGAGAAAACGCAGAGAAACTATGGCAGGAGGGTATTCTCAGGCATGTTCCCGTAGTGGGAACTTTCGTCAATTGGTGGAGTCCTATTTCGAAGGAAACAGGTGTCCGCGGCCGTAGTCTAAACTTGCAAGCTGGTAATTATAGTTTCGATATAACAAGCATTTATTTATCATAATCATATTTTCCTGAAGGATAAAAAGTTCAATTAAATATTTAGGATAATCATGATAAGATTATTTTAGACAATATTTATTAAAACAGGTGTCGTGGAGAGTACGGAAAATATCTACAAGTATCATATGCAACTGCAACCTAATTTCACAAACAGTAATGGTTCTGGCGCCAGAACTCCGCCTCAGCCTTTAGTGCAAACGCCAGTTGGTGCTAACAGTCAAAGCCACAGTCGATCGTCGAGTCATTCTAGCTTGCAAAGTGGTAAGAATGTACCTTTAATAAGCAATGTCAGTTCTCAGCTGCAAGTAAAGGAAGAATCCACGCAAACAAAGTCGTAGTAAACGTTGTACTACTTTCAATGAATCAACAATACATGGTTTCGAATTGTTAAACTTGGAATAAAAATGCTTTTTCTGAAACGCTAAAACGTTCCCTCTAGGAGGTGCAGTCTTTAGCGAAATATTAGACTGTAACTTATATAACTTATCGATTGGGTTAAATAGAACGAGATACATGTGACGGTTTAATTTTATCTTGCTGCTGATACTTTAACTGGCTGTTTCTCGCCGAAGATATTTCTTGTAATATTTTAAATATATAAATAATGCCTTCGCAAACATTTTCCTCAAATTTCGTAAACTTTCTTTATTATTTGTGCTATTAAGCGAGCATGACTTAATCATGGAATGGTCCATGTACTTACTAGATTGATACCACGTAGCAGCCTCGCTTTTATAATTAAACTCATAAGTTACTAAAATACCTCTTGCGGGCACAATGGCCAAAATAAAATAATTTTCTCTTCTAATTGATTATCTCTTCTTCTCATACTTTATTAATATCAATTTGATAGCTAATCTATAGAAGAATATATTGCAAGAAAATTATTTATTGTTGAATAGTTTTTCTTTGTATAATATTACATATTTTAACTACTAGCTCGCTAGCTATATTCAGTTTTTTCGCCATTAAAAGGAATTATTCTTTATTCGCGGATTTTTGCTCCTTTTAAACTGTTTGCTAATTTTTAAATTGATAATTCACATTTATTAAGTTTTACGTCTTCATTAAGCACAATATTGTAAGTAAAGTAATAAGAACCTATATAATACGTTTACTTTATCCATTAAAAATAAGCTATATGTACATTTTACCTTTTATGAAGGAGATTTTGAAAATACTTGAATGAAAATATATAATAGAAAAAACGTTCTGATATTGGAAAGATGTAACAATTTGCCAAAGAAATTTATATATATTCACCCATCGAAAAAAAGTTCGTATTGTTGCTGTTGTAATTGGTGATAACACCAAGGAAATATTTCAGTGATCAAGATTAATAAATAAATTATACTGCATTAGGAGATTATTCATAAATTGTTGAAAAATATCGAAGATGCAAATAAATTAAGCCGCATGTATATTTATGTACCAAACTTGTAATAAAGTATTGCTAATAAATAAATAATATAAAATGTAAATCGAAATCTTCTCGCGGCATATGTAATAGATACGGCGATATGATACTAATGCAATAATTATGGATCTTATGTTTTTATTTCTCTTTTTATAATATTCATGTTCCGTTACAATAGGAGGAATTAAATTCGGAATATGGCAATTAGACACAATCGTAATATACAAAAAGTGGTATTGATTAACGAGCTTCGTTCATTCTTCGTTCGTCTCCTACATATCTCCGAGATAAGTCTCTTTATATTACATCAAAATTCGCATAACCGCACATATAAAGAAAGACGCAATAGAACGTTATAACTTACGTAAGTTCTCTGGAGTATAGTCGAGTAGCCTCTACATATACTTTGTAAATAAATCTCTTTCGCGCAGTGAGAGAGAAATACGCAAAAAAGAGAAGATAGTATTTACGTACTATCTGTATACTTTCACTAATAGATGTAGCGAGAGATACGTCAGGAATTAAATTAAGAAAATATCGAACAGAAGATAGACACACAAAGACCTATGACAGAAATGAACGTTCCATCATATCCTATGCCGAACACGTGTAAAATATTATATACTTATGCAATATACAAATATACGGAAAAAATATTAGAGCCCTGGATTCTTCGACGTATCCAGTATCAGTCTTAAAGGGTGCACAAAAGCTTAGGTCTCCCGTGTTCCTTTCCTTTTTCTTTCTGTCATATATCCATATCTGTCGAGATGTGCGTATAATATTTAATCGAATTCTGCGAAATTTTTTTTGATTTTTCATTTATTAACTATATCATCCTTTTTTTCTGCGATGAAAAATTGCCGTAGGCCAAGAAAATGCTCCGATTCGAATGAGTTCCTCAATGTCGTATATCATTACATCACTCCCATTATCTCTGAAAATAATGAGTTTCCGTTCCTTCTCTCTCTTCCTCTCTCACGCATACACATATATGTATATAATAGACGTATACACTCGCTCACATATTCTCTTTTTCTCTCAATCATCCTGATATCCTTTTCTCTTTCCTTCGTGTTTGTTGCGCAGATGCTCTCGCTTTCTTTTATACCACATTACATTTACCGTATAAAAATGATGAGTAACTTAAATGCTGCTTTATTCGTTAGAAAAACTGGTGTGCAATGTGCCTCAGACTCTCGATTCTACTATAAAAATTGACAAACGATTACAATAAAGGTTCTGTTAACAATCATCTAAATTACAAATTCTCATATTAAGAGTTTAACAACGTTTTCTGTGTTCTAGATTATTTTAAAATACGTGTTAAACGGGTTCCTCGATCGCCTGTAAGTCTCGTCAATTTTGCCCGAATCATTGAGCGTGGGTCAAATGTCTTCTAGCAGAGAAATATTTTAGCACAATTTTCTCATCGACTAACAAACGACATGTTTACTTGCAGGTCTTTAATCTGAACAATACTATGTGTTGATCCCGTTTTTGCGCGCTTTACTGTAAAATCTCGAGTAACCAAGGTTATACAGTATCTGAAGACGTCCATCTCCAGTGTTTTATGAGTTATTTAAAAAAAAAAAAAGAAAAGAAAAACAATGTAAAAAAATTAATTGTAAATTGTATCAAATAAATAAAAATAAACAAAATGTTTATTTTTCTGTTGTAAATCGATACCGTGGCAGATCAAAAAACGAAAATGGAAAGTAAAAATACTTATCAAATAAGAAAAATAATCGAGATGTACAACAAATAATTACATATTACGGATACAGCGCATATCTGTGCTAAAACACTGAAGTTGGATTATATTTGTAAACTTTTTCAATAAGCAATTTTTCTCTTAAAATCTAGAACATGTATCGAGGGGCAACGACGCACTAATATAGCTTTCGTACGTATTAATAGTGACGATACAAATATTCTTTGAGAAAAAAGATTCCTCTTTACGTGTCTCATCTTTTTTTTTTGTTTTCTTCAAATTGAGCCGGGTTAAAAATTTGGCAAGAGATCTTATTAATGAATGTACACAACTTTATATACTGACTAGGATGCTTCTTCATCTCCAAAGTGAACAAAACGATATTCGTTCATTTGCTATTACGCGCACGTGGTCGCGTGCGCACATTTATATATTTATCGTCGAAACTTAAATTAGCATTTAACTAAACTATATACTACTAGTCTACGAGCTATCGCTCTGTAATAAATATTACAATTATTTACATTGGATTAAGTTCTTTTGCTATTCACGCTCTTAAAATGCTCGGTATTGCGATTATATAATTGATTTTTACTCGACTAAACACAAGCCCTAAGAAAATCCTGGAAAGTAGTTTGCGTTAAATGCATATATTCCTGGAATGGCACGATTTCCCTTTCCGCAATCGAAAGTCGTGGTTAAATTGTCAATAAAAAAAAATGGCAAAATGCTTCCATGTAAAATCCGTAATAACATCTAGATTCGGTTTTATCACACTTTTCACGTTTACTCAATAATCTTAAGTGTTATTATTTTATATACAAACTTACTGAATTATATGCGGATGCCAGTACAAAGTCATTTGCGATTGCTGAAAATCTGTATCAACTCTTACAAACTTTTAGATAGTAATCAATTATAAAGAGAAAAAGAGATGTACCGAATATTATCGGAGATAGACATCCGTGGCAATTGAAAAAGAATTGCCAATATTCAACCGGACACTCGTTGATACTTGTAATAGTAAACAACGCTTGACCAATTGGCTATTATTCAGGCACAACATTTACTTCTCCGACACTTGGATTTGATTCAACGAGTACCGAATAATTGCCAGATATTCTCTTTGCCTAATATACTCGGTATATCTCTGATGTTACAGAAGATCTCAGGAAGACTGCGCTCCGCAGAAAATTCATTCTCGACTCTTACAAAATACAATAAGATTTAGTTTTTTTGCGACAGATTAATTTTTCCTTACTGTCTTTAAAGAGTATTTTTAACTAATACCGCCTGTGGAAGTATGTTTCCAAATATCCTTTATCGATACGTTGGACATTCCTATCCATTTCCTTTTCAACTCTTTTTCGTTTGCACATAAAAACTGAAAACCCATAACGCCTGTGCTACCACTGTCTTTGTACTTAAAAAGTATATTCGCCTGAGAGCATTGGCAGTATCGAGCATGATCTATGATCAATCGAATTCTGCCAAAGAGTCCCGTAAAAATCACCAGACATTCGTGCGGTAACTAGATGTATATGTATAAGTTTTCACACACATATAAAGTATATTAAATATCTCTCACGGAAAATTCAACATAGATTCGTTCGGTTAAAATGTAAAAAGTATATAAAAACCGTATATTTCCTTCATCGTCTTTTGGTATCTCCTTCAAGTCGCGATATCTAACTCTTCGGTTAAACATCACACGCGAAATTAACGGCTAATTTAGAATGAACAAGCGAGCAGTATCTCTGTAAACGATATCAGTGTAAAACTTCATGTGAAGATTTCTTTCGTGCATGTTCGTTCATGCAGCTTTCAAGTCGGCCAACAAGCAATATAATTGTGTACGTTTAAGTATGCATTTCAGCCTGTCCTTGGATACTTCGCGCGCGGTCTAATCAAGAACGCGATAACAAAGAGGGAGAATAACATAGAAGGACGTACCACAATCACTGTACATGATATACAAGTACAAAATCTCGGATATAAAGTATGTCTCACACAAGTTCCTAACTTCTCTAAAAATCCTTTTTTCACTCCCCCCTCCTCTCCATGATTTCTCTCACTTTTATCGCAGGTCTCTGAAATCAATTTACCTTTTTCTCTATTATTTTATAGGAACTCCAAATCGCATGTTTTGAATTTTGTTAAAAGACAAAACTCTCTTTGTCAACAATGCCTCTATTCTGCAAATACTCATGATTTTGCATCTTCTCTTTTTTTTCGACGATTAGAGTTCCGTTACAGCATACAGATTAGGATCACTACCTTGTACCTGACTCAGCGTAGCCACCGTCGGCTTCTCCTGCCTTCCCTGCGCTCGATTATATGTACCATACATATTCGGCACCGTGTTGTTCTGCGGTGTAGTACCGTTGAACTGACTACGCGAGAAATTTCTATCCAAAGTTCTGACCTGATCTTGCATTTGATCCTGAATGCGAATATTAGGCGCCTTGTTCCGCACCAACGATCTAAACTGATTCATATTAGTCTGCGAGCGCGACTCGAACTCCCACGTAGGTTGCTGACTCGCGGGATTCGGTGGAAGCGGTCGATTTTGATTCCAGGCCTGAGTCGGACCCCTCTTTAGATTGGCCAGGTTCTTCGGATCCAGTGTTTGTGTCTTTCGCGAATCCTGAAAAGTGGCAAGGTGCGCGGGCCCGTGCGAATTATGAGACAGGGTACCGGTGAAGGAAGCCACGCTGGGCGTCCAAGGTGGTTCTCTACCTGTAACATGAAATATAATAATACAGATGTAAAGATGAATGTTACATACGCGTAAGAGTATTAATTTTTGCATTTACCGGGCCCTGCGGGGGCGTGCCCTCAGTAGAAGTCACTAGATTCTAGCGTCTTGCACTGTTTGCTCAGAGTCGCGTACTGGCCAGGTTGATCTCCGAGTCCAGATCGGTGTTCAGCTCGTCCACCCGTTGATTGCTGATTATGCTGAGACGATTTGTGATCCCCGCCCCCTCCGCTCCCGTTAACACCCCCACCTCTGTAAACGGCGAGGAAGAACAAACAAAGTTGCAGCATTATCTTTGTTTTACATAATGACCGACATCGTTTTATAGCTTATCTAAACATAAATCCAAATTCAATCACGCCTGCAAAACTGTCTATATATCATATTTATGTTAATAAAATAGGATTACAAAGCGCGCTATACTATTTCTTGTAACAATATTGTATAAAGCAATCAAAACTGTTATTTGCTAAGAATAATATTCTGTTTCGAAATGCTTAATGTCGCAAAAACAGATATTTAAAATATATAATTAAACACATCAAATATAAAATTAAGAATGGCACAGTTATTTATATGATGCAATACATTTCATCACGTATATTTCGTCAAAAAGCATATACTAATATATAAATATCGATAAAAAATTGTATTCTTAATAATGATGAAACTATGTATGATAAAGCAACATTCAAAGGAGACGCATTGAATCTAATATGTTTAGCGCGATATTAATTGATATCCTTAAGCTAAACAAATTAAAAGAGAAACTGAAAATCTCATGCACAAACTTTAACATGCTCTCGTGCAGTTGACGTGCGCGAGCAGTCGCAGTAGCGTAGGACGGTGGGGGCGGCGTTAGCAAGAGAGGCTGCTTAATCGTGTTATGAGTGCCAAGAGCATTCGAATTAAGCGTAGGGGCTGTAGGCGGGTACGACCCTTGGCCTCGAAGGGTCCTTGCTGCTATCGCCTGTGACGCTGCCGATGGTGGTAAGTAAGGATCTTGCTCGTCAACCTGATGATAATCCCTTCTGAAACAAATGCATTTATTTAATTTTCAGCAGATATCATAAAATTTAGAAAGGAACGCAATGATTCTACTTGCTTTAGCATTGTAAAATTAATAGCAAAAATAAAATTCTACTTAATTCCCTCCTCTCTCTCTCTCTCTCTCTAAATGATTCCCTCTAGTGTACTTACCGTTTTCGTATGTATATCCACGTATGAGAATCCACCCAAACCAAAACGGTGAATAAGAGACCTGCAGCTAAACTGGCTATTAGCATGAAACTCAATCCATACCTAGAACACATTATAGAGAAGCATTATTATTAAGCTTATATTTCCGTGTAAAATCATTTTAATTAAAATACAAACAATTATTTAATTTTTCCGAATTATAATTAAAATATAAAAGGATATCGACTTACAATCCCAAGTGACACAAACTCTTGGCGGCATGAACGTATTGCTTGTGCAGAGGTTTACAATCGAGTAACGTGGATAAACCTGGCATGAGTCTGTCTATGGTATTAACGTCTGTGGATAAACTGCTGAGTTTTGGCTGGAGCTGCTGATCTTTGAACAGTTCTAGAGCTAATTTAGTCACCGTGTTCAAATTATGCCTCATGTTATCCACCGCACGTTGCGTGTCCCGCAATCTTAGCGTGAACGGATTGCTGCGCGTGTTCTCGCAATGCGTGTAGTATGAGAGTACCTCGGAGGCTAAAGTAGACGGTACGGCTCTGCTCAAGTAACCATCGGGTGAGACACAAAGATCACCTAGAGCTACAGAAGTTGCCAAGTATAAGGACGCCATGAGCCAAGAGACGATAACCGCAAACAAGCCGAATACGGAAAATCTGAAAAGATAATCTATTAGAGTGTCTTCATGATTTTGTGACTATAGATGTGTTTACAGAATAATTTATAAATGTATAGAAGATAATCTATTCCTCTGCTCAAATTTTGTTATGTATTTTTAAATGGTTTTATTCAAACGTGTAAAATAAAAATGCAAACTGAAAATAAAGATACAAAATGCTATATGAGGAATACCGTCGAAAGATTTCTACTCTTATTTCGATCAAAGGAACATACGTTATGAGAACACATCTGGAGTGCCGTGCAACACCGACCACCAGAACCACGCAGAGGACAAGTAGAGCGCTCAGGACCGCCATAGTGATAGGCCATCGCAACTGCTCGATCTTCTCACCCATCCCAATGGCGCCGGCAAGACTAATACCGCTCAAAGGCTTTCGTATCTCAAAACTCCGATTTACAGCGATGCTCGTATTTTGCTTCATGCCATTAAGTGCCGCTAGCAGCCAACTTAGCATAGTTTTATTACTGACCGGAGCATCGAATTCATCTCCAAGAGCAGTCAGTTGCGGCTGCACTTTTCTCTTCAGAGTCGCTTCTATAATATCAGTCTGTAAGAAATATGCAATGTTGATATTTAAATAAATATAACAATTATTTTTAATTGTTTAAACTGTTTTAAATTATCCAAATCAGGTCAGTGTCTATCTATACGCGTATACTTAAAAACAAATTCTAATAAATATTAAAAAAATTTGTTTTAATTAAAAATGAAATAATTTTTCTCTTTTTTGCGATCTTTACTTTTAAAATCTATATGCATGTTTACTGAAATTTTTTATTACTGCTATGTAATAAACATTTTTTTTATTACATATATTATGATAAACAGAATATTAAGACACTGCGAAAAATAAATAGGAAATACCTGATTTCTGACGCCAATAAGAATCCCATCGACGTTTTTCGCAGCTGCTATGAGTTGTACCAAGCCGTTGTGTACGTCGTCGTTACCATAAAGACCAACAGCCACTGCTCCACTGCAGAGTAACGCTAGGATGGCCAGCGAACACTTCAGCGCGGTTATCGACTTCTTGGGGCGCGGCCTCCGGTCGCAGCATCTTGTTACCAAATAAACCAGCAATACCAGTAAAGTTAAGATCAACCAGGCTGCCGGAATACTTCCCAGTATCCCGAGGCTCTGTAAACATTACACCCGATCATGGATTTTCTCCCTGCTTTATAACTTCAACGTTTATTTACGTAAATTTTACTTATACTCTTATAAAAGAAATTAAATTACTGAAGAGATCTAAAGACATCCAAATATAAAATCCATTTATTCATTCTAAATTTCTTGCAGTAAAATCTTACTCCAAGAGAGTGAAAATACAACCACTTTTTTGGAGTGAGATTTCACTCCTTCGAAGTAAAAATACACTCTAAAACAAAGTGAAAATTGTCACTCTTCTTCAAGAAGCGAAAAATGATTATACTTTTACTTTCTTGGAATGAGATTTTATTACAAGAAATTTAGAGTGTTGGATTTTATCCATCAAATTTCATAGAATTAACAATTTCCTGTTCTCTATCTGGTAAAAAGTTTTTTGAAAGTAAATATCTGATTTGAAATTTAATTAAAGAAAAAGCTTTCTTGTGTCTTCTCAACTTGAAGATTCGAAGAACAGACCGTCCAAACAAATAACATCCAAAAATTGGTATCGCGCCAAAAATTTTCTCGTCTTCACTTCCTACTCTAAACGGCAATATTATCAGCGTCGTCGTGCATCGTCAAGAACCGCATTGCAACGCTATTTCAGGCGCATTTACGTATTTACTTCGTACGAGCCGCACTTACGACCGTCTCGTAACTTCTACCGCTCTCTTCCTGCCTCCCTCAAGGCTTTTATCTCATTTCTCGGCGGTCTTAGTTTCGCCAATCCACCCCGTCGAGCCGCATGCATGACGAAAGCGAATACTAGCGAGACAAAGTTTCGGGCCCACCTCCTTCGCCAGTGGTTATACCTCACCCTAAGTCCGCCCGACTTCGACGGCTGAGGAAGACGAGCGAAAAAGGAAGAAGAGGGAACGAAAGTGTGAGGAATACATGGAGAACACGGACGGAGGGAGAGCAGGATGTGCCCGACGTGGTCCGACGTAGTTCCCGAAGATGTTGAAGCCCGCTGCCGTGAGTTGCCCCGGGCATATTATGCGAAAGCCTTTGTGCATTGTTTGAGCTTTCCCAGGCATTGTGCTTTTCAGTTACACTCATGGAGCCCGGATTCTTGCGCGTTCGTGGTATCCACCTGCCCTCTTCTGGCCTTCTTTTTTTCTTCACCAACCTCTCGTCTTCCTTTCTTCTCTTTCTTTTTATCCTCTTCTTTTTACCGTGTCCTCGCCATATCCCGCTACCTTCCATGGACATGTGAATCGTTTCTTTTTTTTCTTTCCTTTCGATGTTGCATTCTGTACGAGCATACGGCACCTTTTCTAGTCGTTACGTTGCCAGATGCTTGCTTTTTGGATTCTTGTCCGTTTGACGATGCGAGATCTTCACTTACGGCCCGATAACGCAAATCTACAATCTAGCCGATCAAATAACTGTCGGAAAATTTTGATATTCTAAAATCGAAGTACTAACAGGAATTAATAGATACTATACGAATGGATAGTACTTGATTAACATACCAATGTCCGTTAGCGCAACTTATGTTTTCTAACAAGAGACATAGTGCAACACAGTAATTATTTTATTTTTATTTATTAAACAATAAGAATGTAATGATTCACTATGTTACAAAAATTAATAGAAAAGAGCATCAAAGCCAATTCA